TAAATGTTTCAAAATTACGCCATAAACTTCCCTATATTCAAAATATAAATGGGTTAATAATAGACATTTGGAATGGCGTTGGTATTGAAAAAAAATGGTATTCCAGAGAAGAACTTCAACTAGTTTCACATAATGGTTTCAAAGACTACAATATACATAAAGACGAATTTTCACCCATACGTGAAGCTTGTAGCTAACTTATCAATTTTAACTGTTAAGATTTTGTTAAATCTGACATCAAGCAGGAAAGCGACAATGTTAAACCTGTCGGTGTTTTAAAAAGAATGTTAAATGTTTCAGCAAATTCCACAAAACCTTAACATTTAAACAATTAATAACCAAAAATTAACAGTAATTTATAGCCTATCTTTTTTATCAAACCTTTATACTCGTACTATAACATCTAATTGCCTACGTGTTTTTTATATTAATAAATAATATATTGTTTTTTTTTTTATATAAAATAGCAATTAGTTATTTTTAAGCATAAAATAATAGGTACTTAATATTCAATTTTTATTATTTGCCTGACTTGAAGTAGGAATTTAGTTAATTTAACAAATGTCTAGATGGATGAAACTGTACAAAAATTTAATTCTTTGATTTATATGCCTAGGCATTTAGTAAAATACCTGATTTGACTATACATGCGTACGATATATACACTTATAATATAGTGCAATGCATAAGTGTATCAGATTTGCCTATATAAAGCGCCGCGTTAAAAACCTCTATGGATAATAATATTAAATTTTAGTATTATATAATTATATTTAACTTGATGTACCAGTACAGCGCCGTCCATGAAAAAAATTACCTATCAATTATCTTTTAAATTTTCATTTTTACTGTTAATATAATAATTGTTGAATGAAAAAAATTACATTGCCTGTGCAAATAGAAAAAATGGTAGTTACTAAATTTTATTTTTTAATACATTTAATTCAAGAAACGCAAAACTTAGTATTCATTTATGGAAAATTGTATTAGTAAGAATAAGATTCAACAAAATGTACAAATGATGCCAGTATTTTGATAGTTCAAAAATTTAAAAAATTGATTTGAAAACAATAGTGTCGGCTTTTTCCGGATTGGGGGAGAAAATGTACAAATTTATCTTGGGTGTACGCATGAGAGGACGACTTACAGTTGACCCTAAGAAAAATATTAAACACATATGAAGTTAATTCCAGTAATTTTAATTGCTTTATTTATTGTTATTCCAAAAGACAATCCAACGAAAAATTGAATACATTTAAACTGAAAAAGTAAATCTGAGAGTATTGTTCGGGCAACGATGAGTTTTCCCCATTTTCATTACGGGCAGTATTGCGTCTAGAACATTCTAGAAGTGCTCACCCCCCCCCCACTACCCGCGCCTAGATAACAACCGGTCATGTGTGTTGGCAACCTTTTCACTTTTTTTTAGTCCGGCATAGACATCCTACGTGTGTATGACGGAACATGTTGTGTCTTCTTGTCGAGTTAGTGTAGTCAGTGTCTGTTTTGCGTATGCGCACACATAACACGGTCGTTTTGTGTCGCCTTGTCGCGTTCTTGAGTAGGTCTCACCTCCATTTTTTTTGACGTATTCGCGTGTGTGTTGCCGCGTCGGACTCCATGGTCGTTGTTGCACGTGTTCACATGGTACTACGAGGAAACGGTCCTGTTTGGTGCTACCATCGATATCATTTTATATCACCATCTGATCATGGTCGTCATTAACCACTAACGCGGTCAGGTGACAGTCGGATTCTCGGTATTGTTATCAAGGATTATTATTACTTAATTATCATAGTTGTTGCATTATCATTAAGTAGTATTTTCATTTTATTATATTGTTGTAAGTGGGCGCCTACCTTTCATTATTATTATTATTATTATCATTATTATATTTACAATTGCAAAATACAGTCCACTCTCTTTTTTGTACACATAAAGCTTATCGGTGTTTTATATTCATGATTACATAACTTTGTTAATCCCCTTTCCGGCATCATTAATACACGGCTCCACTCCACCCGCTGAATGATCAGAAACGGGAAATGGTCTGAACAGGTATAATCGGTTAGATTGGTATTAAAACAGTTACTTCGATACCAAAACCCGTTAATATTATGCGCTAGATCAACGCATTTATCAATTTTTCAATTATTAGTTTTGTACCATTGCAAAATCTTGATGAGCTCAAATTTCTTATTAAAATAATAGATGCCATTTTTTTCCTATGTTTAAAATGTTTATGAAATGGAATTCCAGAAGTCGTTTATGAATTAAAAAAATTAATTTCAAAAATGTACTTTTCTAAAACCAAGTAAACTGAATAGTAAATCGTTGATAGTGTGTCAAACTTAGAAATAATAAAATCATACAACGGGAAAGCATAACACGTTTGCCGTATCAAAATTTGACTCCGCCATAAACAATTTCTTAATCAAGCCATATCATTAAAACATTTTCATTTTATCGTCTACTTAACAGTTTGAACCGCATTGAAATACATTCAGAATTTTCTAAATCCATCTGGAACCAAATAAATTACTCGATTTTATACTTCGTACTCATATTGATGATTGATATTTTTTTAGATAAAATAATCTTTAATTCTATACCAATTTGATTTGTTTAAAGTATAGAAGATACAATTACTTAAAATTGATTAAGACCATAAAACTGATATATTCAAGATAATGTAAAGTTATTTTTTCTTTACAGTATAAATGTTATTTTTTAAAAATCAACAAAATAAATAATTTAATATTAATACTAATATTTTCGGAAAATACTTCTGATATATGAGAAAAATTATCCAATGAGACATTCTTTATAAATTTGAAATATAATGTACCTTAAAAAACACGGTGTTGTGCTTAGATAAAAAAAATTATCTAGATATAGATAGATAAAATAATTTTTATCTAGATATTTATGTAAAGCATCAGCATTTTCATCCGTTTGTAGGCACTCTTTTGGTCTTGGGTAATGATTGTATTATGTATCCATTTCAAAATATAAAAGATTTTACCAATTTAATAAAATTGAAAGTTATAGACAAAATTATGAAAAATTTGAAGACGATCTGACGATAAACACTGAACATGTTGTGGATGAGAGTGTGCTACGTACAGTACAAGTTTTTAATAATTAACGGATGTTTCACGCCCAATATTTATTTTGTTGTACAATAATATTATGTAGACACATCAAAGTACGAATTCATAGAATTGGGGTCCGGTAATGACAATTATTTAGAGCACATGATTACATGAACAATGGACATAATTTATATATTAATATTAAATTACAGGTAGTCGAATGATGATGGAGAACGATCAATTTATGTGTAGGTACAGCGTAATGCGTATTGTAATATTGCTATTTTCTTATCGAAAATTAATTCTGTATTTTATTATTTATAAACCATCTACCGCGCAGCTGCAATAATAACCAGTTTAGACCTATGGTGCGTTATTTCTGGTTCTAATATTCTTGTAAATACTATTTCGGCGATCGTAATACTACAGAACAATAGTAATACGGGTTTGAGACTTCCCCGTATTAGCCATAGTATGAAATTATATAAAAAATCCACACCTCCCATGCATATTATGTAGGTAATATATGTTTATATACATAATAAATTGTCATTGTTCATAATTAATAATAAATGCTATATAAAACTATTTTAGAACCAATTTTTGTAAATAAATATACAAATGAAATTTCTTATTTAGTTAAGTTATTTATTTTATATTGAATGGTAAAATTGTAGATTAGTTATTACTAATGATTATCTACAGATTTTGTGAATTATCTAGATAAAAATTAGATGTCAATTTTATTTTTTATCTAGATAAGATAACGATATAAAGTTATTATATAGATAACATATCTAGATAAATTTATCTAAAGCACAACACTGAAAAAACATCAATACAATTACATACGACGATATTAATGAGGAAGTGAAATCTGTATTTAAATAGCGTTATAAATAGCTATTTTATTAGACCTTAATGTTTGTATTTTTATTAATTTTAACTAATGAATACATTGTTGATACCAATTTTATTTTGATTCGCGTGCAAAAATTATTTATATTTATTTTTATGTTCCTTTAAATTATATCACTGTTCGGAATTACCGATTAATATCCCGTGTAATGTAACAGTACTTATGATTCTTTTAGCATAGCGTCTACAAAAAATAACCATCTTTTGATTTACTACTATTATTGTTATTATTTTACGTCTCGGCCTTGCGCACATGAAGTTTCGTCGCGCAGACGGATACAATGGTCACGGGTTCACATTATTATTTTTCGCACCGAAAATCGTACGTCGATCGTTTCGTTTGCAATGATGACACGTAGAACGTTCGCATTGCTCGATCAGTATTGTTGCCCGTAACAGCCTTGAAATTATAAAGGAAAAGAGAGAGAGAGAGAAATAGATGCATAGCCCCCACGGACAATTTCCTAGAATTTACGTTCCCGTGACTAAAATACATTGGCCATCTTCCGTATTAAATTGTATGTTGGATATAGAAACTAAACTCAAATATATTTAATAAACTCTTTGTTTTGAAGTGTTAACATACACATACAGTAAACTAATAGTTTCAGAAATAATTTGTATATACTTTGTGTATAGTAGTTAATATTTTATGTGGTATAATAACAATAAGATAACATGAAGACAATTACCCCTTATTTAGAAAACGGAAACGATTTTATATATTTATATTTACCGCAACACCCAAAATAGAATAGCTTTCAGAATAAGTAACTCGTTATCGCAACTGTACAATTGATTCGTAATCTAATGTATTTCAAGAACCATTTGGTTATCAACGACCGATGTGAACGGACACGGTCGTTATAATATATGCTACTTCTGTATTTATACCTGCGCTCATCCCCTACGGTTTCAAGTATTATTCCGGCGCCACGGTGGACGTGAACATCTAACGGAACCCCACCCTACCCGAGGAAGGCTCACCTGTACGTCGCTGGAGCTGAACCTCCAGAGTGCCTCACTGGTGACGACGCCGAACAGCAGGTCGTACTTGTTGACGCCGCTGCCGAACTCGAACTTCTGAAACTTGCGCGCACCGAACGCGACGCTGGATCCGCTGTACCCGTCGAATTCGGGCAACAGGTTAGCGATGACGTCCTCCTGGTAGTTACTCTTTACCACTACACCGTCCACGCTGGGCCCAAATGCGCTCAGGTACGTGGGCATCGCGACGCCGACTGACATGAGCTGGTCCAGAGGCACCTCGCGCAGGCAGTCCACCACCGGCTCGGGGTCATTGCCTTCCGCGGTCGTACAGTTCACTTGCTTAGCCAGGTCCAGCGCATACGATACCGGGTCCTCGACCAGCGCCCAGCTGCTCAGCGCCGAGCCCGACAGCAGTATTGCCCGCCGGAACAGTCCTGCGAAAAGCCAACAACGTTAACGGAACTACCTTTTCAAAGGTTTAACACCATCCCATCGACGATCGAATATTTTGAAGTCGTCGATTATCTATTGTTTTGTTTAGAACACGCGCTATGATTTCAATATTGTGGCTTGTTTTTTTTTTTTTTATAACCATCGTAACTCGTTTGGAAAACCAAAGATAAACGTAACCCGTTGGATCTACATTTATTTGATATTTAATAAATGTTCAATATCCATTGGTTGTATGTTTTTAAACATCGAACTACGTAATACACGTTTATATAGTTTTAAACTTTTATTAATTTTTAAATATTTATTTTCGAATGTTCCAGGTTTAACGTGAAATATTAAATATGAAATCTATGTCGTGCAAAGTGTTTGACTGACAAATGCTGTATGAACAAGTAACTTATGGTTGGAGCGAAAAAACCATTTACGGTTTCTACTGATTAACGCTTAATATATTTGCTGCACGTTTGTAAGACGGAGAAAATAAAACTTAACAACGAACTCCGACCACTGATCTTTTCGCTGCATTGAAATATTCCAAATTTCAAAAAAACTGTCACAAACATTGTAAATGATTTCAATGTTTATTTACACGAGTGCGAACATACTTCTTCAAAATCATAACACGTCATTTATATACCAACTTGATGAAAGTTATTTACAAGCTTAACTACTGCACATGTTGTATTGTGAAAACTTGCATGACAATTTACTAAATCCTTATCGGATAATATATTGTAATAAAAGGATTTTCTTTTCGTTCGTAGAGTTAAAGCTTTGTAGAAAAATTCTTATCACCCTCAAATATCATCATCTCCCCCATTCTTTTAAACGGTGTTGATTTGCCATGGATATATTTAATCTGTTAAAAAAAAGTAGGCCAAAACGAGCCTTTAATATAGTATTATATAAATCAATGTCGTTATTCTGAGCCCATTATCGAGAACAAACTATCAATAAATAATAATAAATTAATATAAAATATCTGTCGGATATTTTTCCCATCATATAAAACACGATATTCGCATCTTCATCATCTGACCTACCGCGGTGAACACTTAGGACGGGGGTTTTGTTTTATGTTTTTTTACGGTATTCAGCCACGAGGACGTTCTCGTTGCGTCGACAATCCTTTGGTGCACTCGCAAGAACTTTTATGGTTGATAATCGTAAACTTTTCCCCGAAAAAACATTAAAAACTATAGGAATTACAAGGGAAAAAAAAACATTATAAATTAATTTTCAAACGTCGTTAATTTCTATTCAGTTACAACGTTAACATAAATTAAAAACAGAAACGTGTTATACGTGATTAACAAAAATGTTTTCAAAACAGTTATGCAAGAGAGTAAATACGTTTGTCTTTCATTGTTCATCTGAAATCTGAACATCACATTCTTATATGATTGACCGTTGGATTTCAGTTAATTTTACGTAAAATAAAAACAAGGGTTTCAAATACTATATTTCTCTTGATATATGGAATATTAAAATTATTTTATTACATTATAAAATTAATATATTTTAATTTAACGAGCGTTGTATTTACTCGATTTTTTTAATTTTTATAGATAATTATTATTTTATTATTTTTACTGTGTGATATTAAATTATATTTTCTAGACATTATAATAATAACTTTGCATACACTTATTTAACACAAGAGAATAATTAAAATTATTATTACAACCATCAAACTAATCAAAGTATTAACGTTTCATTATCATCTTATAATTGTGAAAATGACTGTATTTATTTTCCTTTTTTAAATTATCATAAATCTTCATTAGCAGGAAAATTCATTGATCAAATTATTAAATAAATAAAAGTATTTTATAAATTAAATTCACTATTTACTACAATGTATACTAAAGAATCTTATAAATTATGTTGTATAATTTAAAATTTAAAGTTGTCTTAACATGTATTCTTAATACATGTAATTGGGCTTAGTTTGATAATTTTACGGTGTGTATACCCATTTAGTAGAACCATATAAAGTTTGGTTAATCTCGGCTTTTGAAGAGGATTCAGAAGATTTTGCATAACTTTTCAGTTTAAAGTGTACATATAAAATTCATAGAACAAGAATTTAATATTGTATTACTGCGATTTAGCTTTAAAGGTATTATTAATACTTCCCACTATTACAATTTTTTATTGAAATATCTTTTTAACTACTTGAAAACCAATAAATTGACTGTGTTTTTTAATTCTTTTTAATCAGATATTTACTCCTTATTAAAAATTTGTTACATTTAGTTCGGCAAATTATCATATTATACTGATAATATTTCATCTCTTATAAGTCAAATTACACCCTGACAATTTTAACGTGATACGATTTGTATTTCAACGGGATCATGACGCGTTTCTTATGAAAAACAATATTTTAATAAAAAACAGAAGAGGTTATTCGATAACAAAGAATATCTACATGATAAATATTATAAGATTCAAACCAGAAATATGTTTAGAATAAATTTATTAAAATAGGTAACCCGCAAGAAGAATCTTTATAGTTAGTTGTATTAGCTCGTTACAGTGGTTACGGTATATTTAATTACCTTTATATATCACCAAATCCACCGAACCTGTCTTCAATCCGATATTCTTCACGTGCTTAAATATTCACAATTTATTATGATAAATACATTTGACACACTGTCTTGCACTCGTACTTAGGCTAATGCTATTCGATAAGATATATTCGTGTTCTTGAATGACTGATCGATTAAAAGAACATGAACGCTTGGAACGCGAACGTGAAGTGGATGAAATCGGAGCACTGTTGGCTGGCATAATTCGATAAGGATTTTGGTGGCATAGAGATGGTGGTGATATTTACTCGACACTAGCATATAATATAGTTCATCCCGTAACAGTACACATGAAATTCGCGAAATTGTGTAGATCTTCAGAACCATTTATAAACATAAACAAAATTCCACAAATGTCATATATAATTCCGCGTACAAAAAATTTCAAATATTCAGCGTTGTACGACCGTTTAACCCTAAACTCACGTTGTCCATAATTTTAAACTGTGCAGTTATATGTTTTTGATTTACACCTGTTATTAGTTTGCGTGAACTCGTTTTAACGGATCTCTATTTGAGACTTTCGTTTCATATAACACTAATTTTATTATTCATTTATTATTGATATTAAATTTTTTTTTTACATTCTTTAATTATTATATGTTTTTTTTTTTTTTAATTCTGATCAGTTTTGTGTTTTTATTTCTATGTTTAATATATATAGTTGCAATAAACACATAAAGTTTCATACATTTCAATGTCATATACAATAAAATTAAATAATTAAATAAATATTTTTATTTTTTTTTTTATTTTTTAAGTTATTATAACCATCAAAAATAAATAACTAGTACCTATATAAACCAAAAAGTCTATACGTATCTTTATCATCTGTATGTGTTAACAAGCATTTATAAACGAATGTTAAAGTAACGCTGCATTTTAAATCATGCGGCATCGTACAAAATATGTATACGGAATTTGCGGAATCGTTTAAGTTTATAAAAGTTTATGAAAATGTACACGATTCCGCAAAATTTGCGGAATCGTTATTCATCTGCACAAACCCACACGCGTACAAATATAATTCCCTGTAGAGCCTATAGTAGACGTCACACATGACCACGGTAGGTTATCGTGAGCACGTCTATTTGATAAAATTCTGATGTATTATTTTCTTTCAGTAGCAAAAAAAAAAAATATTCTCAAGAACGACGATTTTCATATTCTTCGCACGCAATATATTTTTTTTAAAAATTAAAGCGCACTACTCACCTATTATAATATTTTTAAATTTATATGCACACGGTTAAAATTCGATTAGAAAAATTACGGGACCAACGACGCCTGAAAACAACAATTTCTCAAGAAAATAATTAATATTCAAGTGTTTCGGAAGAAGAAAAGAAAAAAAAAGGTGTTATTCATGAAAGTATAATAAGTACCTTCTGTTTTATTGATCGAGAACACTTAACTAGAAAGAAAACGTCGTTAGATTTAAAAGAATTGTTTTCATGGTCCATTAAAATAATTAAATACTTAAGATTAGACACCGTTACACAAAAACTACAAGTTATATACAAATTTGAATCTTATAAAATATTTAATACTAAAGTACCTTCTAAAAAAAACAAGTGATTAATATTAAAAAAGTAAGTTATCACATTATTCATATATATGCGGACTTGTTATTTTATGTACATTTTATATCTAATGCATTATTAAGCTCGTAAAGATAATTAATTTTAAACAGTGTACGACCATTAGGTGTGAATCAAAAAATGTTTTCAATTATTTTTATTTTGTTATTTAGTTGAATAATTTTTAAATTTGAAGAATGACACCACAATAATATTGATAGTTTTTTTCCATTGGATGCATATTTGCACCAATATATTGTAGTTTTTTTTTTCTTTCATGCTTAATTAATTTGGGTAAATGAAAAATTATAACAGATAACATCAATATTAAAGGATAAAAATTATACATCATCATTAATAAAAGTTTTTTCAAAACACGTTAGACTTAAAATAACATAGCTTTACGTTATGATATCTATATTGTTAAAAACGAATAACCGACTTGTGTTTTACTTTCCAGCATACATTTTCACCAATTTTCAGTTTAATTATAAATTGATAAAAGTCATTTGAATTACTTGATAATCCAAAAAATCTAAACATTCCTTAAGAACGTACAACACAAAAAAAAAAAAAAAAGAACCTTAATGTAAAACAGTAAAGCAGCGAAATATGCTCAAACAGCGTTTGAAATTTAAAGGGACTAAAGCAATAAACGCATAAAAATTTGTGACTTTAAACTCATAAACATTTACCTAGTCAAATTTAGTTCCATATGCCGACAACTATTCTGTGAACTATCTAATCCGTGGAACTAAGTGTATTATTAAATTTATTATAGTTATATTATATTTGTTATATAAT